GTGACCATAAATAACCTCCTAACTCTTCCAAAATCGAGGTATTTGGTCTGATAACCACAAAATTACATCGTTTCAATTTTTTTAAATATATTACAATTATTTTATCTAATCATAAACATAATCCCAAGAAAATGGATTGTTTACTCGTTCCTATGATACCCCATTTGCCCAAATCGGCCTATTTATTTGAAAGTTTTTGACCCTGTAAAAACGGTTTAAAAAAAATATTTTTTTAGAATGGATCATATACGACAATAGATGTCGTTTTCGTCGATGCTTAACCAGTGCTGTGAAGCGAAAAAATTTCACCTATTTTATTTTGGTTGCTCCCTAAAGTAGGCTTTAGTATTATGCATATAATTTTAAGAGCACTGCATTAAAATACAAATGAGCACTGATAAATATTGAATACTCACCATAAACCAATTTTTTTAGACCTTTAAGATAAAAGGAAAAATCCTTGTAAAACCCATTAAGTATGTTTTTTCCTAATGAGCATTCAGTCAGTTTCCAGATGTTAGTCTGCCTTAAAACTATTAAAACATAATTCTGAATTAATAAAGCTCTGATCCGGGATTGCGGCTTTACTCAAAATAAAAGCTCTTCTGGCTAACACGTAAGTATTGCTTCACTATTTGGAATTCAGAGAATAAAAACCACTCCCGTATTAAATTTCAATATGGGCCGAGTGTTTGGTATACCCACGTATAGGTACTTTTTCTTTAACATCGAATTATCATTTTGCAATCGAATTATCCGTAATTTGACATTGTGCTTCTACTTCATTGACAAATATTTTAATCGGTCTATTTGCAGCCTTGGTTGAGCATTTTTCAGCCGAAGTGTTCTATGATGAAAATTTTAAATGTAATGTGAAGAACACATCTTCTCTCAAGTGCTCAGTGCCCATATATCATATTATTGGAATTTGAATGTACCCTTGGATAATTTGAAATCACTCCTAATGCAATATGTACATTTCCAGAAAAAATAAAGTTTTAAAAAGCGAAAGGAAGAACCCGATTAATTTTAAATTGAACACATTCTTATATTTGTATCAGATTTGGATCGAATTTGGAAGTCGAAAATAGAGGGACACCCCAAAAAAATTAAAATTTTATTAAAAAAACCAGTAAAGAAAGTCCTAAAGTCGGATGGGGCCGACTTTATGATACCCTACACCACTTTGCTAATTTAGTTGAGCTCCACTTAATAAATAAAAGTTTTTATGGGAGAATTCAATCATACACGCTATGATTATAATTATAATTTAAAATTCAAAGGACTAAATATGCCGAAGCATTTGTATCTTTTAAATTCGGACTTGTATTGCCCATTTGGTGCGAAATTAATTTGAAATCGGATAAAAATATATATGGGAACTATATCCAAATCTGAACCGATCTCGATAAAATTTAGCAATGATATTTCTGAGCTGCATTTGATATATTTCCCCAAATATTGTTGTTACAGAGTGCATATTGCGGCTGCGGAGGACAAAAATAACAAATCGGATGAACAATATATATGGGAGCTATAGCTATATCTGAACCGATTTCGATAAAATTTTGGCATACTTATTTTCAGGCCTAATATGGTTGTATGTGCAAAATTCCATACTATTCGGGCTGATATTACACGTTTGGTGCACAATAAAAGGCAAATCGGACGAAGATATATATGGGAGCTATATCTAAATTTTTACCGATTATCTCCAATTTCAATAGGGTTCGTCCTTGGGCCAAACAAATGTTGTTTGCAAAATTTCATCTCAATCGGATAATAAATGCGACCTGCATTTTGTTCACAAGAATACATGGACAGACGGACGGACGGACAGACGGACTGACATGCATAAATCAACTCAGAAAGTGATTCTATGCAGATCATCAAAAGGAACTATGGGTCTATCTCGTTTCCTTTTTCCTGTTACAAACAAATGCACAAAGACATAATACCCTGACCACCTTGTGGTGTAGGGTATAAATAGATGTCCTATGTTATGAGAATTAATCTTAACGAAAAATGACAATAATTGTTCTTTCCTTCTGTATCCTCCCCACCAAGAGGGAGCCAATAATATGAGTCTATCCCATATAAATTTTAAACAATACCAACAAAAAATTCAAATTTGGTGATATGTTGAGTCCGATTGATACTGTTTTGCTTGTTTCTGTATTGTTTTTAATATTTTTATATATAATTTATTGGAGTTCTAAGAAAAGCTCAGTTTCAATGTCCTTTCATCCCTGCAAAATTATTATTTATTAAAAATATCAATGTAACTGTCAAAATTCATTCTCAATTCTTTTCCATCCATTTTGGAACACCCTGTCAAATTTTCATTTCATTTTACAAAACCAAAAAAAAAAAAAAACTATAGACATAACAACATTGAAAGGTTGTCATATTTAATTGATGTAAGCAAAACCGGAAACCAGATTATTGCTTTCTTTCTTTTTGCAAAAAAAAAAAAACAAAGTGTATAAAACAACAACAAATAAAGTTCAAAAGAAAACTGTTATATTGGACGTGTTGTGGTTATGTTATTTATCACTGAATTTTTTAACTAAGAACTAAAATGAAAGATAGAGGCTATGTACAAGAATGAACGAAAACTAGAAAAAAGTACATACATAAATACATTTAACCAAAGAACACACATTAAAAGCTTATGGTGGGATAGGATCGGCTAGGATAATATATCTTGGCTTTATTTTCGTTTTATGATTATTTTCTTGTCTTGTTTTTTTTTATAAAAGTGGGGATATTCTGTTGTTTTGTTTATTTATTTGCTTTCTTGTTGCATTTCGTTTGTTTGTTGTTTTTTTTTTTCTTCTTTTGTTTCATGCTTTATTGCTTTACACATAAATGCCATCACCTGAGAACGTATAATAACGTATAACATATAAAATATTTTTGTGTGTGTGTGTTGGTATGTTGCTTTTTACTTTGCATTAAAAATAATGTTTTTGTTTAAAAAAAAAATGTTGCTATTGTGTTTTGTTTTTCTTTTCTGTTTTTATTGGTTGATTGGTGTTTTAGTTTTTTTGTTTGTTTTTTATTTCGATTGTTTTTTTTTTTACACTATACATTATTGAACAGAACCGTAAACTATGATTATACAAAAAAAAGGTTGAATTTTCCTTTTTTCTTTCTATTTAAAGAATCACAGCATTTTTTACTTATAAACAAATTAAAATTACATTTATATAAAATGATTGTAAATAACTTATGGTTGAAAAACTAGAAAAAAATAAGTTTTAAATAATTCATTTATACTGCTAATTAAAGAGATTGAAGGGTAAAATTACTTTGAGAGTTGGGGTTATTAGGAGATATTGAGTGATGAGTTTTTAAAGGGTGTCCAGTCATAGGTTTCGGTATTGTTCTTTCTTTTTTTATATTTTGGTTGTTGTTTTGTTCGAATAATTTGCACCAAGAAATATATGAGATATAAGAGAAACGTACCAGAAGGTGTGATCTGATCTATTCCATCTTCACACCAGATCTTGTGCTGATAGAAATATTTACAAAAGCCAACTTTGAAAAAGAACGACATGCTCGTTTTGTATTTTATGAAGATTTAAAATTTAGACCCCTTGTGGGGGAGGTACCATAAGGAGTGGTTCGATCAATCTCATAATTATGCAAAATGAAGAGTTGTTGGAAATATTAGCACATGAGAATTTTGAAGACAATCGGTCTCCTATTTCACATTTTATAAGAGTTATAATTATTCCAAATTTTGACCCGTTGTGGGGGAGGTACCGGAAGGAGTCCGTTCTAACCGTTCCTCATACTAGTTGTTGTGTTAATAGAAATATTGAGATGTGCGAAATTTCAAGACAATCGAACTCTTGGCTCACATTTTATGAGCGATATGATTATTTAACATTTTAAGCCTTTGTGGGGGAGGTACCAGAAAGAGTTGTCCGCAATATCCCATGTCCACTCAAAATCTTTATTGGTAAAAATAATCCTATGTGACAAGTGTGAAAAGAATCGAATACCCAGTTTTCATAAAAAAATGAAGGTTAAGGGTTTTCTTAATTTTGACCCGTTGTGGGGGAGGTACCAGAAGGAGTAGGCCGCTATATTCCAATTTCACACAAAATCTTATATTGATAAAAATATTGAGATATACTTTTTCCATTTTATTAGAGTTATAAATATTCAAGAATTTAACCCAATGAGGGGGAGGGTACCAGAAGAAGTGGTCCGCTATATTCCAGCTGCACGCAAGATTTTGTCTTTATAAAAATATTGGGATATACGAAATTTGGATACGATCCTACTTTTCTTTCATTTTATGAGAGCTATGATTATTTAAAATTTTGACCCGTATTGGCGGAGTTACTTGGAGTGGATTATGGAGTGGGCCGATATTTTCCATTTTCGCATCTGACCAACCACTGATACAAATATTAAAATCTGCAAAGTTTGAACAACATTGGATGGTCCTTTCTTGCCCTATGAGATAAATAAATTTTTTTAATTATTTTCAATTTGTACAGTTACCTAGTCCATAGGGTCATGGACGGTTCCAAAAACTTCTACACACGACTACTTTAAAATTCAAACCTTTAAAAATTTTGTATTTTTGTGAGGGAGGTACCGAAACTTGTGGGCGATATTGATCATCTCGGAACTCGATTTATGTTTCATAATAATATTACCATGTAACATCCAGATATACAGACGGACAGACTCCTCTATATTGAAGGTAAATACCCTGATGAGGCACGTTTTGGCCGTATAGAATAATATTTATCGTCTGTAACCATATAACTGAGGACATACATATGTCCGGGATATTTTGATTATCACCCATGATATCTATGGTCTGAAGCAATTTGCTGTGCTGAAACCGAAAAGATTATCCGGATATTTGAAAGAGTGGATTTTAAATTTAGAAATTATACGAATTATTCTAATTATATATATTATATTAATTTTGAAAATATATTTCATAAGCGACACTTTTCAAAGTTATATATTTGATTTTAAAATGCTCCTTTATCTGAAATGTTAATATATTTGACTTCATAAAAACCTATCATTTTTAAAACCACAACACTGAACACCTCTATAATATCATCGATTTCTCTTTCTCTCACAAACCCCTCACATCTCATCATTAGCAGTAGGAATTAAAATAAAGTACAAAAACTTAAAAGTAAAAATTAATACAAAAAAATATTAAAATAAAACTTAAAAATGAATAATACACATTAAATTATTTATACATTGAACTGAACGGACTAAAATTCTCTTGAAGCATTACCTTCTCTCTGCTCACCACGCTTTACGAATACAAAAGTTCCTGCAACGAGGAGCTGCGTGACAAATTTCGGCTATTCTTCAAAATTGCAAACGAAGAAAATAATTGGAGAAAATTAAAAAATCGGCAAAGGGGCTATTGTTCGTTGGGCCCCGGTAGTGTATCCTTGCTAGAGCTATTTGACATATTATGGTTATTTGTTGCACTGATGTTGTTGCTACTGCTGCCGATGTTGTTACTATTGCCCTGTGTATTGTTGTTGCTGGTGGTGGTGTTGGTGTTTTTGCGCAAATGATTCCTTAACATAACTAAATTACGATTCAATTGCATATTGGTGGGTGGTAGACCGGAGACATTGGATGATTGTTGAGCGGCGGCGGCGGATGATGACGATGAGGATGAACTCGAAGTCGGCATATGGGGTAGGGTACTACAGGTATTCTCATCGGTGGCCAATGAACGAAGATAAATGGAAGCATTACCGCTGGCAACACCGGGTATGCCAGCCGATGCCACCGATGTGGTGGGAGATATAGCACCGCACAGAGTCTCGCCACTGCTCGACATAGGCATACCTAGTAGCAGTTCATGGGCGAGTATGGTGGGTAAATGTTAAGTGCTGTTCTTCATGGGACCCGAAGACAACGAACTGCTGCTGACACCCGAATCACTGGATTTCTCACTCAACCCACCGCCACGTATTAAAGTGTCGTCGGACATTAGACTGTTGCCGCCGAGTATGGATTTCTTACCCACACGTGATGGTAGGGCGGTATTGGTGCGGAAAGGGTTATCCTTAACACGTTTGGCACTCTCGACACGTTTCATAATTTCACTGGAACACTTCGAGACAACATCGTCCAAACTATTCGAATCGTCCGTGGAGGCCAGCGTTTGTGTGGGTGTCTGTGAGGTGGGCACCGGTGAACCTTCATAGCAACCTGAGTCGCGTGGAAAATGACGACGACCGAACGGCGAGGCAGCATGTTTTTTGTTGATATTATTGAGACGAGCTTCATCATTTTCTGAACTGGAACCGGCAATGTCCACATCAGAGCCGGTTTGGGGGAAGTTGGAAGCTGTAGGAGGGGGAAAGTGAGAAATAAAGAAGATTAGTAAAATCAAAATCAATTCTTTTATTTAATTTAAACACTTTGCATTAATAAGAAATGTGTAAAAACGGCCAAATCATTTAAACGCCTGAAAGTATGCTTTAAATTTTGGCACTAACACACGCTTTGAATTGTTTCACAGGGAATAGGCATTAGGAAAATGATTTTATGCTTGAAAATGAGCAAAAGTGTTAAAATTTTTAAATTTATAAATATCCTTACGGACTTTACTGTCAAACCGGACATAGTAGATATGTTTTCTTCACTACAGAATGCGTTTATTGTGGGGAAACCCCTTTTTTTCTAGGGAATTTCCATAGTTTGTTGTCATAACTTACCACAATCCATATCATGCAGCAGCTGCACAGCGGTCAACAACTTTGTCCGATGATCCGGATTAATAATACCCAAATAATCCAAATCTGCAGGTTCTAGTTCCTTGAACAGTTCCAGGTCTTCGTAGCTGAAAGAGGGAATAAAAAAGGATATTAGATTTCTGGGTTCCCAAGATAAAAAAAGTAATTAGAATTTAATTTTTTTTGTAGATCTGCTCAATTTCTATTGCAGATATACTTAATGTAGAATAGGGGGTTGAAGGCCGTTCTAAGAGGTATTCTCTCGATAGAGGAAATCTGTCTTGTTACGACATTCTGACAACAAAATGGGTTTCTCACCATTGAAGATGTTTAAAAAGGACTTTTTTAGAGACGTTAGGAATGGTCCTCCGTATCCTATTCAACGGTCTTCTCTTTATAAGAGGGTTTTAAAGGAAGTTCTGCTTCTGGAAAATCCTACTTCTAAAAGATCTCCTGTTCATGAAAAACCTTTTTTTCAGAAAATGACTTCTGAAAAGTTTTATTTTTATAGAAGAAATATTGAGAGACCCTCTGTCACCTTGTGAAAGACATTCTGTGCATAGACGGCGTTGAGAAGGAGTTTGCTTCAGAGAACCTTCTGTTAGTCTTTCTGGACATAGTAGTCCTCTATACTCCTCTTAACCTTTAGGTGACCATTTAAGAGATCTGTTTTTAGAAGACCTATTGAAAGGTCTTTAACCTTTGGAAGATCATTTGAAAGGCATTATATTTTAAGAGGATAGTTGACAAGTTTTTTGTCTGAAGAAGCTCAAAAACTTTTCTCTCAATTGAAGATCTTTTGATAAATTAAAAATTTTAAGGATCTTGTGTCCTTCGAAACCCTTAAATGGCTTTTAGGTGTGGGGGATCTTTGAGAGGACTTCCATCCATAACAAAATTTGCGACGACCCAAAAGGGTGAGATGAAAAAACTGCAACCAACTTCAGACTGCTGTCATTTTTAAGCCACTCGTCCGACAGCTGTTAAATTTATTCTAGTTACAGCTTATTATATTATTTACAAGCGTACAAAAGCACTTTGGTGAGAATTTTCCAGAAAAAAAGTTATTCGTGATGAAATTCAAGCGTGATAGTGTAATTTCTTTACATTTGGCTGAAAAACCACAAGTGGCTATCGTTAGAGCCCTCCAGCATTTAAATGCGATTAAATCTTTTGTGTCTCGTACCATCGCTCGTTACCCTGGAGGGAGGGGACGGAACATCAGCAGAAATAGTTCGAAATGTAAAGAATCGACTTGATCGAAACCCGCGTCGCAGTGGACGAAAAATGGCTCGTGAGCTGAACATATCGCAATATTCCATTCGGCAAATATTGAAAAATGAGATTGGGGTAAAGCAATTGAAATTTCAAAAAGTTCAAGAATTTACATCGCAACAGAAAGAAAATAGACTCAAAAGAGCTAAAGAGTTGCTTCGCTTGGCTGAAAGTGGTAAACTGTCGAATTTAGTTTCCTCCGATGAGAAAACAATCGTTGTCCAGCAGTTTGTAAACAAAATGATCGTCTTTAATTGCCAAAGAGGTCAGCTGAAAATGTGCACCTTCGGTTGGCTACCAGAACTCAAGAGCCGGCCGTGGTGATGGTGTGGGCCGCCATATCAGCCGATAGTCGCTCTCCGCTCGTATTAATCGACCGTTGCATCAGAATAAATGCCGGATATTATCGGAAAATATGGGCACGCAAACATTTTGGCCGGAGATATTGGCCGTTTCCAACAGGACTCAACACAATCGCACCCAGCACGCGCCACCCAAGAATGGCTAGAAAATGAGATTCTTCGCTTCAATTCCAGCGCACAATCGCCACCAAAATCTCCGGATACCAATCCGTTGGACTATTGTGTCTGGAGTATTTTGGAAAGCAAGGTTGGCACTAAAAAATACCAAAGTGTCGATCACCTCAATGGGCCAAAATACCGCAGAACAACATTCGGGCAGCGTGTGACGGTTTCATTGGCCTTTTGAAGGCCATAATTCGTGCCAACGGTGAGCAATTCGAACAAATCTAAACATATTCTAAAATTTGACACTTTTCCTTTCATCTAATAAAATTTAAAAAAAAATATTGCGTTCTGAATATTTTTCTCACGAACAAACAGAGGTCCAAAGTATATAGTTTTAAAATATTTTTTTCAGGGTCCAACTGAGGTACAAATAATTTTTTTTAAGAACGACGAGCTGATTTCTTATCGATTAAGAACTTTGTTAAATGAATATTTTCTTAAGAGCTATCAACATTTTATCAAGCCATAACATATAAATGTTGTTTTGATTTTTTTTAAATATTTTTTTCAGGCCTGGAATTTTTTAATAATATTTTTTTTCAATACCCAAACATCCACAAAATTGGGTTTATTAAAAATGCGAAAGCGTTTTGTTGGAGTTATCTTATTCCCAATGTGGAATATGCGTGAACCAAAGCCAAGAAAAAGACTCGTTGTTTGAATTCAGATATTTATTAATATTACGTGTGTATCTTACGACTATTGACAAAAGAAGGAAGGTTTAACAAACCGGAAAAGAAGAAATTCAGTGTTTAAAGTCATATGTTTAACCTCGCGTTAACAATTAATATTGGTTTTAGTACATTTGAGTTGTAGGGTTGCATTTTTATAGCAACAATCGCCCTCTCAAATCAAATATACTAAATTTAAATCAAAATCATTACATCTTCATTCGTAACAATCCACAGCCATATATATGTTTTTGTTTACTCAAAGGTTTTGTTAAAAGATCTGCCGCATTCTCTTCTGAAGCAACATATTCGACATCGATATCGTTATCTTCATACTTGTCCCGTATGTAGTGGTAACGTATATCAATATGTTTACTCTTCTTCTGTACGGTTGGGTTTTTGACCATAAATTGCGCTCCCTGATTATCGCAGTAAATTTTAGTAGGATGCACAACATAATCTGCAAAACCCATTTCTTTTAATAATCCACGATGAAACACGACTTCTTTAGCACCTTGGCAAAGAGCAATGTACTCAGCTTCCATGGTACTCAACGCCACTACAGGCTGTTTACTAGATTGCCAGGCTATGGGTCCTCCACATAAAAATAGGACATGTCCTGAGAACGACTTACGGTCATTTACGTCGTTTCCCCAATCAGCGTCTGTAAAACATTCAAAACTTTTAATTTTACTTGTATATGTAATCTTACTTTCCACAGAGCTTTTCAAGTATCTCAGGATGTGTTTAGCGGCTTGCATGTGCTCTTTGTGCGGGTGTGTGTTAAATTGTGAAAGTTTGGACACCACGTGAATAAGGTCTGGTCTCGATATTACAGCCAAATACATTAATGCTCCGATCAGGCTTTGAAAGTCCTTAGTCTCCAAATCATCGCACTGTTTTTCACATTTTTTTAAGATACTTCCGTTTACCCAAGGTGTTGCCGCTGGTTTACATTCAGCCATACCCCATCGCTCAAGTACTTCTTCAGTATATTTCTTTTGATGAATGGATATGTCTCCAGTTAATCCGTTCCTTATTATTTCCATTCCCAAATAAAACGATATAGGCCCACGATCAATAGCTTCAACATGCTTATTGAGATGTCTAACGATGTTATTTATTTCAGACTTGCACGAAGATGCCAGCAGCATATCATCGACATAAATTGCTATATAGCTTATACAACCGTCTTTCCTTAATACGTAGACACATGTGTCCGACTTACATCTCACAAATCCCATTTCAATCAAAATATCATTTATTCTCTTATTCCATTCACGTCCAGCTTGTTTCAATCCATATAAAGTTTTTCTGAGCCTACAGACAGCATTCGGACGATCTTTGTCTTCAAACATTAAGGGTTGTTTCATATAAACCTCTTCTTTTATATTACCATTTAGGTAAGCTGATGTTATATCAATATGATTTACATACATATTATGATGGGCTGCCAACGCCAACAATAATCTTATTACAGAATGTCTTGCTACAGGTGCAAACGTTTCCTGATAATCGACGTTATATTTTTGTGAGCAACCGAGAGCTACCAAACGCGCCTTATATTTTTCGATCGATCCATCTGGTCTTTGTTTTACTGCAAATACCCACTTGCACCCGATTACATTTTTATTAACAGGTCTTTCCACGAGATCCCATGTTTTGTTTTTCATTAAATTATCATATTCAACAGACATAGCCTTCTTCCACATTTCAGCATTTTCCGAACATAAAGCATCATTCACAGTTTCTGGATTTTCTATAATTGAATTAAGCATTTCTGGCCCGCTCTCCATGCAATATACTTTTCTCGGTCTGCCTGTATTACCAGCTCTAACAATTTTTGGCCTTCCGCGCTTCCTCTTATTTTCCACAATTATTGTTTCATCTCTATCCGTTTCGCTATCCGTGTTGTTCGCTGTGTTATTTGTTTCGGGAATTCTGTCTCCCTCCGAAATTATTTCTGGATTATCTTCACGTGAAATTTCCATTAAATTGTTCTCTTTGTTCTGCATTGTTGTTAGAGGTTTTAATATTTCAGTACAGAATGAATTACATTCTTCTTCCTCAATATCAATTATTTTTTCAAATGACTCTTCAAAAAATATTACATCTCTAGCTATAACTATCTGTCGGGTATTGTGGTTGTACAGTCTGTAGCCTTTTGTATAATTCTGATATCCAACAAATTTCAATTTGATACCCTTCGGTAAAAATTTCCCACCTTTTGGTTTTGGACCTTTCTTTAAAGCTACAGCATCACATCCAAATGTCTTTAAATAATGTACCGACGGTTTATGTCCAAACCATTTTTCAAAAGGGGTAACATCATCAAGCACTTTTGTCGGAGTCCTATTTCTCAAATATGTTGCTGTGTTGATAGCTTCTCCCCATAAACTTTCAGGTAACTTCGAAGCATCTAGCAAACATCTAGCCATTTCACAAAGTGTTCTATTCGCCCTCTCAGACACACCATTTTGTTGGGGGGAATAGCAAACCGTCGTTTGATGAATAATACCTTTGGATGAGAAGTATTGTTTAAAGTCCGAGTTGATATATTCCAACCCATTATCACTCCGTACTATTTTTATTTGGCGGCCTGTCTGCTTCTCCGCAATCGCAGCAAAATCTCTGAATGCTTTAAATGCATCAGACTTACGTTTAAGAAAATACGTTGATATATATCTTGTGTAATCATCGATAAATGTAATGAAATAAGATGACCCGCCTAACGATGAAGTTCCCATCGGCCCGCATACATCAGTGTGAATTAGTTCTAGAGCAGTTTGACTTTGTACACTCGAGTATGATTTGTATGGAACAGCCGATATCTTACACATTGCACACGTCATACAATTAATATTCTTGGTACTAATTGGCGGTAGACCTTTAATCATATTTTTCGTCGACAACATTTTTAAATCGCGAATATTAATATGACCGAACCGTTGATGCCATTTACGTGTCACAATATCATCATTTACTGCATAAATGCTTTCTCTATTCCTCTTAGCTTTCAAATTCGCAACAAACATATCTCCATTCAAATCAGCTGTCAATATTATTTTATTATCTTGACCTATCATTCTCGCCTTGTTTTCTTTAAATTGCACTGAGAGTCCAGCTTTGATCACCTTAGCTATTGAGATAAAATTTGAGTGTAATTGGGGAACATACCATACGTTGTGTAAAGTGAGAGTTGAGAATTGAGTTTTGAGTATAATATCACCAACACCATCAGCAAATATTGTCTCTCCCGACGCCAATATTATACTCTGCTTGGTTTCTCTTAATGTGTTAAACAACTCTTTATTCCTACACATGTGCGAAGTCGCGCCGCTGTCCATTACCCACGACTCTCTTAAGTTATTATCACCTTCAAATAAACAACAGGCATAATCTTCATCTCTTTTGTCATTCTTTTTGCACTGCGATCGTATGTGACCTCTTCTCCCGCATCGAAAACATTTTATGTTGTTGTTGTTGTATGCCATACCGTTGTTGCTTCCATCACTGGCATTTTTATTCGTACTCCATCTACTGTCATTATAGTTCTTGTTGTTATTTTTATTTCTTTTGTGTTCGTATTTTGAATTCGCCGCAAAAATATTCTCAGAAACACGTGAGGTGTTTTTATCTCCTTGTCTAATTTCTTCTTCCAATATTTTTGAAATTAAATTCTCGTATGTCGGCAATGTATCGCGACACTCTATGGCAACAACAAAATTCTCCATTTCATCTGGCAGACAACAAAGAAGCAAAACACTTAAAAGTTCTTTATTTAAGTGAACTCCAATTTCTTTTAACTCGTCAACGGTGGAACAAAAATCATTGATTTGTGGAGCAAATTTCTCATTGGATTTAAATTTAAACCGCACCAGTTTCTTGAACAATTGAACCTTTCTGGATGCTGTACATGCCATGTAAATTGAGGTTAAGGTATTCCATGCACTTTTTGCGGTAAGTGAATTTTTAATGTGAATCAGTTCACTAGGCTTAACACACAAGGTAATTGTGGCGAGGGCTTTCCTGTCGTTACTTAACCAAATGGCCTTCTCCGGATCGCTTCCAGGGCACTCTTCTGTCACAGTGTTCCAAAGATCCAACGTGATAAGTAAACTCTTAACCTGTATACACCAGGATCCATAGTTTTCTCCGTTCAGTTTTTCTATGCTTGCAATCGAGCTCGACATCTTCAACCTTGTTTTTTAACACCGGATAAAACAATATAAAACCGAAAAAATTCAAACAATAAAATGTCTTGTACTTTGGATCTCTGGGCCCATAACCTTTGTTGGAGTTATCTTATTCCCAATGTGGAATATGCGTGAACCAAAGCCAAGAAAAAGACTCGTTGTTTGAATTCAGATATTTATTAATATTACGTGTGTATCTTACGACTATTGACAAAAGAAGGAAGGTTTAACAAACCGGAAAAGAAGAAATTCAGTGTTTAAAGTCATATGTTTAACCTCGCGTTAACAATTAATATTGGTTTTAGTACATTTGAGTTGTAGGGTTGCATTTTTATAGCAACACGTTTCTTTTTACTCACCCATTTAAAACGAATACAGATGTGTACTCCTTCAAACCGATGCGCATCAACAGATCCTCCACCGAATGTGGACCATTTACATTGGCCATATGCCTGCCGCCAATACCCATGGCAGCGCTTATGCTCTTCCCAGCCAGACCCGTCAGGGTTTTGCTGTGCGAATGCTTCAAACGCTGATCTGGCAACACTTCGACATTGATAAACTTAAAATGACCCACACGGCCATGGCAACGACCCTTCCATATGCCAGAGGCGTTCATTGAAAGCACTTCTATTATGTCACCTTTCTGGAAAATAAAGAGAAGAACAAGAAAATGAAAAGACAAATTATTTATGGCATGAACGACAACAAAAACACAAACAAAAAAATCGCACAAAAAAGAAAAAATGATTTAAGTGTCACAAATAAGTCAAATGAGAAGAATGGCGGGCCGATGGAGGACGGTGGCGCGCGGGAAGCCAACCAAAGCACAATTTATGTTTGTGTCATCATAATGTAAAGAAAAGATGTTTAAAGCAAAATCTACCGGAACATTTGCCATTAAGTTTTGAAAGGCACAGCCATTCATCATCAGCCATTGGACTCAATGGAGTGTTGAGAGCTGAACTGAAAGCAACAGCATGCCAACATCCTGTCAGCCAGCCAACCAGCCATCTAACCATTTTTCCTCCAATGGCCGTGTTTGCTTTACATTGACGTCGATGCCGTCATCATTCTTGTTTTTTTTTCTTCCTTTCTTTTTTTTTTCTATAATTTTCGGTGTGTCATTGGCGGCGTTTGATACGGTCCTTTGGTCTTTGATTTTTGATACTCACCTTAAATTTAAGTGCATCCTTATCGTAAGGATTTGCCATGCTATCGACAAGTGCTTTTGCTTTGCATATTGGTGCTGCTAACGAGATGCGATCATCGGTCGAAATGGAACTTTGTGGACTGCCTGGACGTACTAAAGCCTGAGTGCCTGCAAGTAAATAAATGAACACACAATAAATTAAAAAGGAAAATCCGAAAACTGGATGGCAAAAGAGAAATTTCTTTTGCTCCTTGGGCAAAGGACACCAACAACAGCCATCCAACCAGCAAGCAAGCAAGCCAACAGTTGTAGTTGGAAAAACTTTGTTCAAGAAATATTTTAAGTATTTTTAATTAATTTTTTGTTCTTATCACAAGTGGCGGGTGTGGGAAGGGTGTGTGTGTGTGTGTGAGAGTGCGTTTTTTTCTTTTTTCGGTAAAATAAATTTTCATCAATTTTTCAAAGCAACAACTTTTACTTGAATCCTGCGCTTTGTCGCAAAATATCAAGTGTTGTTGTTCTTGTTGGTGCGTTGCTCTTGTTCCCCGTTTATTCATTGGACTGCTGCCACTGCTACTGAATTGTTCAAAAGAAAAATACTTGAAGGACAAACTTTGTTGTTCTTGTTCTTCGTCATTAATAGAGTTTCATACAAAAGAGTGTACATCAAATTCCGGACCTCATCCTTTTTCGTTTTTTTTCTTTTCGGGGAAAACGGAAAACCCCTGCCCAAACCTTTATAACTTGAACAACCATGGCTGACATTGGCGATACCAATTTCCTTCTTAGCATTAATTCCAGCAATCATGTTAAGTTGTTCGGAACAAAAAGGGACATCACGAAAGACACGTGAATGAAGAGGGTGATTTTATGAGCATACAGGTCGAGGATATAGTTGGCCATCTGCATGTGTAGCGTAACGTGTATGCAGCAGCTTGGGGTGGAAGGAGGCGGTGAATGGGTAAAGCACAGTGGGTAATACAAGCAGGACTATGATTGTGAATTTTCAAGAAAATGTTTTCAAGGATCAACCGAGCTATAAATGAGGATTTTTAGGAATATTTTTTTTAAAGAACCAACCTTGGATTTTTATGTATTTTTCCAAACAGAATACCAACTGTTTAATGTATTTACCAAGGACCAAGCATTGGATTTTTTACAATTGTTTTCAGAAAGAGGGTCCAAGGATAAATTTGTCTTCTTAAAACTCAATTTTTGTTCATGGTCTCTTTTTTAATTTTTTTCAACGCGGTTTTCTTAATAATTTTTTCCAGGAATCAACGTCGATTTTTAAGAATATCTTTTCCGAGGACTAAATGTAGATTTTCAGAATATTTCTCTCTAAGGACGGAACTAATTATATTTTTTTAGATTATTCATTTCCAAGGTCCTAGACTGAATTTTGAGAATATTTTTTCAATGGATCAAAAGATAACTGTTTGAAAATATTAACTTTCCAATGGCCAAAATTTGATTTTAAGAATATTTTGTCTAAGCAGACAGTTAATTTTAAGTTTTTTTCAGAGACAGTCAGAGCTATAAACTTTTTTAAGAATATTTTTTCAACATATCAAAGATAGAATTATTGTGGAAGGATATATTTATTTTTGTAACCAAAGGATATTTTATCCAATGACAAAACGTGGAATTTACAATTATTTTGTAAAACCCAAAGGAGGACTTATCCAAGAATCAAAGGTCGATATTTTATAAAATATATTCCGAAGACCAAACGCGGAGTTTTAAGAATATTTGTTTCAAGGACTTAATGTAGTTTATTTCAAGGACCAAACGTGGATTTTTTAGGAATATTTTTGTAGTATCAAATATAAATTTTTAACAATATATTTTTCAAGGATCAGCGTAAGGTTTAAAGAATACTTGTCTTGAAGGCCCACATTTAATTTTAATTTTGTGGATATTTTTATCTTCAAGGACTAACCGTCGTTTTTTTTTGAGAATATTTTTAAACGAATCAAATTATGATTTTTTTTAAGATTTTCCCAAGGACCACACATGGTTTTTTATAATTTTTTTTTCAAGGATGTCGATTCTTAATGATATTTGGACAATTATTGGATTTTAAGGATTTTTGAAATTTAAGAATTTTGAAGAATATTTGTTTCAAAAACCAAACGTGGTTTTTTTTAAGAATATTCTTCAAAGGATCAATTCTGGATTTTAACAACATATTTTTCAAGGATCAAGCATGGTTTTTAGGAATACTTTTTTTGAAGGTCGATTTTTCAAGATTTGGACAAATGCTGGATTTTAAGGATTTCTGACACAAGATCTGTATTTTTCAAAAATATTTTTCTAAGGACCAAAAGTGATTTTATTAAAAAAAAATCCAAAAACCAAATTTTTATAAGGACCAAATATAGATTTTAATTTTTTTTTTTTCAAGTACAAAAAGTAAAAAATAAAACTTTAAGACTTTTAAGTATTTTACTTCAATGATCAAACGCGAAGTTTAAATTATATTTTTTCCAATGACCAAAAACGCATTTTTGGGAAGATTTTTTCTAAAGAACAGTCGTTTTAATGAACAATTTTTCAAGTACTAAATATTAATAAAACAAATTAACAAGGAAAAAGTAAACATTTTTGGACTATTTAAGGACAATTTTTAAAGTGCTAACAGATTTTTAGGATTAAGATTTTATTACTAATAGGTTAAAAATCGAGGATTTTCAAAGGATTAAGTGACCAAAAATAATAGATTTTTCAGGATAATTTTCAAAGGACAAAATAAACAATAATTCTAGAGTTTTTAAGAATTAACAGAGACTAGGACCAGTAGTCCTGGATCTTTTAGAAATAATTTTCAATAATTGACCACTAATCGTGATTTATAAGAAAACAATTCGAAGGACTCTCAGACCAATATTCGTCGATTTAGTAAGAATAATTTTGAAAGGACTCCACACCAATAAATATGATTTTTTTATGAATATTTTTCAAAGGATTATCAGACGAATATTTGTCTATAGTTTAAAAATCTGTTTTTTTGAAGGACTATCAAACATACAACTTTAACGGACCAATAACCCTGAATATTTTAATAACTTTTCTCGAAGGACTAACATGTAAATGGTTGTGGTTTATTTGATTGATTTATTATTTGAATAAAAAGCAAATATTTTTAAGGACTATTTAATATAAAAATTTTCAAAGGACTAAATGACTAATAATCGAGAAATTCCATGGTCTATTTCACGGAGGAATATCTGACCAAAAATCGTGGATTTTTAAAGAATAATTTTCAAAGGACTATCTGACTAATTTCCAAGAATTTTTAAGGACTATTTCTCGAAGGACTAGCAGACCAAAACTCGTTTTTTTAAAAAATATTTTTTACAGGACTTTCCGAAAAATGCTCAAGAACCTTAAGAACTATTTCACGAAGGTCTAGCAAGCCAAAAATCGTGGATTTTGGAAAGGACTAAAAAAATGACAATTTTGGATTTTTGAAATAATCTTTAAAGGACTAATAGACTACAAGAGTGACTTTATAGAAACTTTCTCCCAATAGGCTAAGACCAAAAATCCAAATTTTAGGAATAATTTTCAAAGAATTAATATGTCATCAATTGTGGATTTCTTAAAAGCAATTTTCAAAGGCCTAACAGGCAATCTAGGATTTTTCAAGAATACTATTCGAGGGACTAAAATACAAATAATTAGGGATACTTAAGATTTATTTTCAAAGGACTTACTAAGCAAAAATCATTTGTGTTTTAAAAATGATTTTCAAAGGATTATCTGACTAATAATCTATAAATTTTAAGGAATATTCAACGAAGAACTAGTACTAGAACTAGAACATCAAAAATCGTGGATTTTTTAATAAAAAAAAATTCAAAAGCCCAAAAGGCCAATGCTCGTGAATTTTTAAAACAAAATTCGCAAAGGACTGTTGTATAAAATATCCTATATTTTCAAGTTGATTTTTAATGAATATTTTATAAAGGACAAACGTCCAATAATTGTGGACTTTTTTAAAACATAATTTGCCAAGCACAGACAGATTAAAAATCCCGTATTTTTAAAATGGATTTTTTATGAATAATTTTTTAAGGACTAACAGTTCAATAACTGTGAAGGACTAACCAATATCGTAGATTTTGAAGAATAATTTTCAAAGGAGCAACAGAAAGTGACTTTACATTTTTTAAGAATATTTTTCGAAGGACTGATGTACCATTTTTATGAACAATTTTTGAAGGATTGTCAAACCAATAATCGTGGTTATGCAAGACTAATTTTTAAAGGATTTTAAAAATATTTTCCTAAAGACTTTTTAAACCACATTTCTGTATTTTTAAAGAATATTTTCCAATGACATTTTTCAAAGGACTTTCAGACTAATAATTAAGGATATTTTAGCAATATTTTTAGAAGGACTATTTCGGGAATATTTTTGAATCTGTTGCAAATACAGGACCTTCATCAAAAATCGTGGATTTTTTAATAAAAAAAAAATTCAAAAGGCCAATGCTCGTGAATTTTTAAAACAAAATTCGCAAAGGACTGTTATATAAAATATCCTATATTTTCAAGTTGATTTTTAATGAATATTTTATAAAGGACAAACAGTCCAATAATTGTGGACTTTTTTAAAACATAATTTGCCAAGCACAGACAGATTAAAAATCCCGTATTTTTCAAATGGATTTTTTATGAATAATTTTTTAAGGACTAACAGTTCAATAACTGTGAAGGACTAACCAATATCGTAGATTTTGAAGAATAATTTTCAAAGGAGCAACAGAAAGTGACTTTACATTTTTTAAGAATATTTTTCGAAGGACTGATGTACCATTTTTATGAACAATTTTTGAAGGATTGTCAAACCAATAATCGTGGTTATGCAAGACTAATTTTTTAAAGGATTTTAAAAATATTTTCCTAAAGACTTTTTAAACCACATTTCTGTATTTTTAAAGAATATTTTCCAATGACATTTTTCAAAGGACTTTCAGACTAATAATTAAGGATATTTTAGCAATATTTTTAGAAGGACTACTTCGGGAATATTTTTGAATCTGTTGCAAATACAGGACCTTTCTTCCTGTATACCATTAATGCCACCCTTGAAAACACTGTCCTTTTCATGTGCACAGAATACGTAAGTATGGACGTGTTGTGTTGCCAAAACCAATTGCATTTTAAACATTCGCCCTCCCCCCACACTCGGGCAATGCCAAAACAGTCACTGTGTCTCTTTGTGTGGGTGTGTGTGTGCGAGAGGGGTGGCAAAGGATGATATGCAAAAAGCCTTTAACATTCCAGGAAGAATATTAAAAATTCATTAAGTTTTCAAAATTTCCACAGTTTTAACCAAAAAACCACTTAAACTGAAACTAACGCAAAAACAACAACAGGATATCCTTGGTTCCGTCTGTACAAACAGAGTCAGTATCATCATCCGTCCGTCCGTCCGTCCATCCATTTGTATCGTCATCAATGTTTATACAAACTTTACAAAACAAAATCGACAATGAAACTAGTTGCAACGGCTATGGAAAACCAAAAGTCTATGGCAGTTTGTAACAGGAATCCAAGGAGTGAGAGAGAGGAAAGGGGTGGAGGGATCACATCCCAACACCACCCATCCATCCATCTAACCATTCATCTATTACAATTGTTTTTGGTAATAGACTAAACTGATGATATGCGCTTTGGTAGTAAGTAAATCCAAAAAATATACATACCCACTCTCTCTCACACACACACTGAAATATGTATGAACGAATGGCTGGTGGGATGGATGGCCATTTGGATAGATAGATGCAACTAGCATTTGAACAATTGTAGCCATGAAGAAAAAAAAACAACTACAATAACTAGAAGTACAGAGCTAAAATTACTTACTTGAACCGGAAGCACTGGGTAAACTTTCCACTGAACTCGCCGAATATGCAAAGGCCTGATCGCTCATGCTGCCCCGGTCGGTATTATCTTGGGAATTGCTGAAATCCCTTGAAGTATCTTTTGTGGCAACAAAGTTTCGCACTCCATTCTCATTAAATGTGCCAATTTCCTTTTGCGAGTTTCGCATTTCGTTGGTCTGCAATAAAATAAAATACACGAACACGAGGTGGCAGTGGCGATGGCGATGGCAGGATGGACATCAGTCATCACAGGATGCCGTAGAAAAGCGCAAGGCCAAGGCATCATCCGAATGCCAGGCAATACATTGTCCAAAAAGAAGCGATTTGAGTGATGTGAATTTTGTAGTTGTTGTTGATGGTGGTGATGGTTGTGTTCGAGATATGTTGGCGATGGTGTTGAAAGTTTTATAGCAAACCAGCAAGCATTCCATCAAAATCATGCAATATTTAGCAAAAACAGCATCCACATATCCAACGTCCAAGTCCAAGTCAGATGCAATGCATTCCAAGGAAAACAACAGTAGCAGCAGCGGCAGCAACCAGTCAATTATTGGTCCATGTATGGGCGTGTGTGTGTGGGTGAGCATCCAAACATAATTGATGAGAAGAATTGCAGTCGACGGCAGGAAGTTGTGTTTTTGAGATTATTGGAAATAAACATCAAAACGTAAAGAAAAGGGGCGAAAAAGAAAGTAGTTTCAGAAAAAAAGTTAGTATGTTTTCCAAACAAAGTCTTTAGTTGGTTGGGTTTGTTGCAACAACTTCGAAGTCAAATAAACGCACCATTGTCCAGATCTAAACATTCTTTGTTTTATCTTTTTTAATTACAAGACAAACTCAGCAAAAATGGCTAAAACAACTCGACATGTTGGCTTAAAGTTAGCTAACAGAGAGAATTTTTTATTAACTCGGGGGTTATTGGGATAGGTAAAGGAAGTTCGAATCCTAGACTTTGGAAGATTATTTTTTTATTAAGGAGATATCATAAATATTTTCTAAGATAAGTAGACTAGAAAAATAAAGAAAATTTTAGTTGAATTTGGTGTATTAAATAGTTGGCAGGTCTAAAATTAGTTATAGACACTTCAGTAATTTTTAATAATTTTTGTTCAAGGACTTTCTGAGGGACAAACACTGATTAGTGTTTATTTTTTTATTTTTTGTTAAAAGACTATATGAGCCTCAGCCATGGGTATTTAAAGCGTTCTAGCTTAGCTAAAATAGTAGATTAAAAAAAAAAAAAAATTCTTACCAGGGCTATCAGAGCTATGATCGTATATTTTAAATTTATTTTGGCTATCTGAGCATCACAAGTTTTATTAGAAGCCATATTTTTTATTTTATTAACTTTCAGGGATATTTATACTTAAAACTTAGATCCTCAGAGAATTTTCATCTTAAAATTTTCTGAGCTATACTCGTGGATTATTAGATTTTTTGTTGGAGGATTATTTAACCTATAATTACAGATTTTTTATATAAAGGGTAAGATAAAAAAACTGCAACCAACTTCACACTGCTGTCATTTTTAAGCCACACCAGTGACAGCTCATTATACATGGTGAGATGAAAAAAACCAACTTCAGACTGCTGACATTTCTAAGCCACTCGTCCGACATCTGTTAAAATTATTCCAGTGACAGCTCATTATATTGTTTACAAGCGTACAAAAGTGTTTTGGTGAGGATTTTCCAGAAAAAAAGTTATTCGTGATGGAATTCAAGCGTGATAGTGTGATTTCTTTTTATTTGGCTGGAAAACCTCAAGTGGCTATCGTTAGAGTACTCCAGCGTTTTAATGTGAATAAATATTTTGTAGCGTAGCGCGACGTCAAGGAAGTGGACAGAGAAAACAGCAACATCAGCAGAAAGGATTCGAAAAGTAAAGAAGCGACTTTATCGAAACCCTTGTCGCATTGGCCAAAAAATGGCTCATAATTCATTCGCATTATTCCATTTGGCAAATATTGAAAAATGAGCTCGGAAATCCCAAAACGTGCAGGAACTTACACCGCAACAGAAAGAAAATAGACTCAAAAGAGCTAAAGAGTTGCTTCGCTTGGCGGAAAGTGGTGAACTGCCGAATTTGGTTTTCACCGATGAGAAAACAGCCGTTGTCCAGCAGATTTTAAATAAACAAAATGTTCGTGTTTACTTGCCAAAGAGGTCAGCTGAAATGTGCACCTACGGTTGACCACCAGAACTCAAGCGCCGGCCATGGTGATGGTATGGGCCACCATAACAGCCGATGGTCGCTCTCCGCTCGTATTAATCAACCGTGGCATCAGAATAAATGCCATAAATATTATCGCGAAAACATTCTGGTGGGTGTATTAAAGCCTTGGGCACGCAAACACTTTGTTCGCAGACCTTCCAAAAGGAATCAGAACCATCGCAGTCATCACGCGCTACCCAAGAATGGTTACAAAATGAGGTTCCTCGCTGCATTTTCAGCGCATAATGGCCACCAAAGTCTCCGGATACCAATCCGTTGGACTATTGTGTCTGGAGTATTTTGGAAAGCAAGGTTGGCACTAAAAACTACCAAAGTGTCGATCACCTCAAGCAAGCGCTTCGCCGGGATTGGGCCAAAATACCGCAGAGCAACATTCGGACAGCGTGTAACGGTTTCATTATCGGTTTGAAGGCCATAATTCGTACCAAAGGTGAACAATTCGAACAAATCTAAACTTATTCTAGAATTTGATGCTATTAATTATACCCTACACCACAAGGTGGTCAGGGTATTATGTCTTTGTGCATTTGTTTGTAACAGGCAGAAGGAAACGAGATAGACCCATAGTTCCTTTTGATGATCTGCATAGAATCACATTCTGAGTCGATTTATGCATGTCCGTCCGTCCGTCCGTCCGTCCGTCTGTCCGTCCGTCTGTCCGTCTGTCCGTCTGTCTGTCCGTCCGTCTGTCCATGTATTTTTGTAAACAAAGTACAGGTCGCATTTATTGCCCGATCCAGATGAAATTTTGCAAAGATCTTTTGTTTGGCCCAAGGACGAACCCTATTGAAATTGGAGATAATCGGTCAAAATTTAGATATAGCTCCCATATATATCTTCGTCCGATTTGCCTTTTATTGTGCACCAAACGTGTAATATCAGCCCGAATTGTATGGAATTTTGCATATACACCCAAATTAGGCCTGAAAATATGTATGCCAATTTGATCGAAATCGGTTCAGATATAGCTATAGCTCCCATATATATTGTTCATCCGATTTGTTATTTTTGTCCACCGCCGCCGTAATATGCACTATGCAACAACGATATTTGGGGAAATATATCAAATACAGCTCAGAAATACATTTGCTAAATTTTATCGAGATCGGTTCAGATTTGGTTATAGCTCCCATATATAACTTCGTCCGATTTACTTTTTTTTGTGCACCAAACGTCTAATATTTGTCCAAATGGGATGGAATTTGGCACTTACGACCGAATTGAGTCTAGAAGCTAGTATGTCAAATTTGGCGAAAATCGGTTCAGATATAGCTATAGCTTCCATATATATTATTCATCCGATTTGTTATATTTGTTACCCACAACCGTAATATGCACTCCGTAACAACGATATTCAGGGAAATATATCAAATACAGCTCAGAAATATCTTTGCCAAATTTTATCTAGATCGGTTCAGATTTGGATATAGCTACCATATATATTTTTATCCGATTTCAAATTAATTGTGCACCAAATGGTAATACAAGTCCGAATTTAAAAGATACAAATGCTTCGGCATATTTAGTTTTTTGAACTTTAAATTATAATCATAGCGTGTATGATTGAATTCTCCCATAACAACTTTTAATTGTTGTGCCCAGCTCTACTAAATTAGCAAAGTGGTGTAGGGTATCATAAAGTCGGCCCCGACCGACTTTAAGACTTTCTTTACTGGTTTTTTTTTGCTTTCATTCAATGAAATTTAAAAAAAAATGTAAAAATTATTACCTTTGACCTTGTTTTTTGATCTCACCCTGTATTTTTTGTTAAAAAATATTTGAGCTATAATCTCAGTGACTATTTAAGTAATTTTTAAGAATTTTTATTTCAGAACCATTTAGACTAAATTGAGGATTTTTTAATTAAAATTTTTTAAACGACTAACGGAGCTTTAATCGAGGATTTTTTTAAGAATATTTGTTCCAGATTACCTATGCTATAATCATGGTTTTTAAAGATCTGAGGAATCTTTTCTAAGGTACATCTGAGATATAATCGTATAGTCTCTTTTACTACTTGTTATTAAGATATTATGTGAGATTTAATCTTCAATTTTCGTTACAAGTCTTAGTATTTTTTAATTTACTATCTGGTCCCTAAATCTGGGTTTTCATATAATTTTTGTTAGCAGGAGATCCGAGGCCTGGTTAGCTGAGCTATAATCTTGATTTTTTTATTACACTGTGAGACAAAATTCAATTTTTATTCAATAATTACGGGAAAATCGTGTATCGGCGGTTTGAAAGTTTACATCACAATTTAATCTAATTAGACGGGCCAAATATTGTCTAAAACTCCCTTTAAAAGTGGTTGCAGCCTGCCAAAATATCCCGTACAATTATTTATTATAAAATTTTACTATAGGTCCTAGAAGAAATCAAAAGTCAAACTCCTACATATACGCCAGGAATTCATATGTGTTGTGTATATTTCGGAGTAGCTCCCACATAACGGTAGACCCCAAGTTTAACTTAACTTAAGGAATGACATAGTAATGGATTTTGTAATGAAATATTTTTGATAGTCTAATAGTGAGTTAAAAATAAAAATAGTATTGGTAGGAGCTGCTAGAGTCGTAGTTTTTTAAAAAAGAAAACTTAAAAAAATATTTTTATAGACTTTTTTATTCGTGGATTTTTTAAAGATATTGTTGAAAGGGGCATATATAGTTCACGGAATTTTTAATAAAAAATATAGGGCTAAAAATTCTACGATTTAAATATATAAATTTTAAAAAAAAATTAAAAAAAATATTTTATTTGCATCGTGGATTTTTTTTTAATTTAAAAAAAAATATGTTTTTCAGGGATTATTAAAATTGAGGAGTTTTTAAAAAAGTATTTCTTCAAAGCCTTTTTTGCAAATAACTATCATAGCATACTCATTTATTTCCAAATCTACATAATTGCTTTTCGACATCAATCAATCAGCCATGCTCCTTCTACTCATTCGCCTTAGAAAGTCCTACAACTTGTTTTGCAATGCAAACATTTAATACCCTATCATGTTTGATTACATTTACCTGGACAATGGTGCGTTCTATTGCCATTCAACGGCGTTTCTAATTAAACTCCTTGACTTGGAGATGTACAAGGACTCACGAAAAAAAAGGAAAACAAAAAAGAGAAACGGAATTGCACTTTCATGCCACTAATACTTACATGATGTATGGTAGCTTTCTGGCTAATTGTGTTTGACTTTGTTGCAATGGCACCGTTCTTTTTAACCTTTGCCGCCAGGCTTGGTGGCAGGGCCCGGGGTGCTCCAATGCCAATGTCTTCATAATCGGAGGAGGGACTGGGCGACAGAGATGGTGAATTACCAAGGCCACCACTCAAAGTACGATAACGAGCCGTGCAATTATTGGTACTAATCTGGAAAGAGAAATCAAAAGAAGAATGAGAACGGGAAGAAAATGCAAGGCAATGCAATGATGACGTTGATGATGGAAAACGAATTGATAATAATGACATTGTGGATGATGAAGATGATGATGATAATGATTGAATCTCAAACCCAAAAGGCAAAGAGAAATAAACATTTGCCATTTATGAAGACTCGAAGCCCGGAGGGTTTGGCCTGGGGGTCATCACACAAATCAAATTAAAACTCATTGTCTGTGTTCACAGAATTCACATTAAATCGCAATTAAATTCGAACGCAAAACGTGACTTCATTGCCAATGTGGTTGCTGCTCGAACAGAGGTCGCTGGCTTGGGTTCGTTCGGCTAGTCAGTCCACCATTGCAACTCATTGAACCGGTGTACTTGTGGCGGTGTGTGGCAATGTATGGCATGATGTGCAAAGATTGGTGGTCGGTAATCTTATGGTGGCGTTGTCTGCTGCTTCACCGCAAGCATTTTGGGCGAATATTTTCACAAAGAATCTAAACACAATTTGCTTTTGGACAAATCGCAGCAACAATGTAGCCGGCTTGCAACAAAAATAAACATTTGGTGTGGGAGAGCCGTGGCAGGAGAGGGAGAGAGAGGTTTTGGAAATCTAAAATTTTCAGCCAGACTCTAAAGAAAACAAATGTCGCAAAATTGATGCAGACGCATTGAAACACCTAACGAAACAGCCAACCAACCAGTCTGCTGAAAAAAATTCTACTGGCTGAGCTGAAAAGAAAATATTGCCGGGCAACAATAAAAGTTTGTTTGCTCAAGTGCACTTTATCAATTTCGTCGCTGCAATGGCAATTCCAGGATCGAAATACAAAAGTGGCAATGGTGGTGGTACAACCATCAATCCTCACACAACGTTTGGGTTGGAAACCAACAATCTTTTGTTTTCGACTTTGTTTCGAAAAAAGAACACACTCACACACACCCACAACCCCTCTGAGCATGGACCAGACAAACAACGTTGCAAGTTTACAGATTATTTGCACTTGTGCAGTATTAACGCTAACATTTAATCTAATTCGTAAATAAATTTTCGTAGAGTTTTTCTCTTCGTTTTTTTTTTTTTTTTTTTTTTTTTTGTGGAAACTTAAAGAGCAGAAAAGTGTGGGTGGTGAACAGTTTACAATGTGGAAAATAATAAATAACAACAACATGAAATGCAGGTGCTGCATTCTGACGTTCATTTCAATTTCAACTTACCGATACGGTGCTGAGACGGGAGGTAACACTTTGGAGGTCTGATATTGAGCCAGCATAATCACCGCTTTCTCGGTCATGGGATCTGGAAATAGTAGAAAGAAAAGAGAGAGGAAATGAAAATAAATGAATTTTGAGAAGAAAGTATTTTAGGTATTTTTAATATAAAATAATTTATGCGGAATTTATATAAGTTATCAAAACAGTTTTAATTTTGGATTTAATAACTCATTTACAAGAGCAATAATTCAATAAGAATTTTCGTAAATTTTTTTTTCAATGACAAAATAATGGATTTTTTCAAAATAAAAATTCGCGGACTTTAGGGAAAATGTTTTCTTGCATTGGAATCGCGGCTTACAAAAAATCTAGGAAAAGTGGTCATAACATATCAATGTATTTCCAAAACTAATTTTCACATCAAATCAACTCCGTTATATCTTTTGAAGAAGATTCCTACATGCAAACATTTAATACTCTATCATGCTTGCAATTTTCCTGGATAACAGTGTTATATTGGCTTTCCATGACGTTTCTAATTCAACTCCTTGACTTGGAGATGAACCATGACTCAAAAAAAAAAAAAGAGAGCAGAGCTATAACAATGGCTTTTTTAAATATTTTTTTTTTTCAAGGACCAACAGGCAAGAATTTTGGATTTTATAAATATATTTGTCCAAGGATCAAAAAGCAATAATCCTGTATTTTCTTTGAATCTATTTTTTCAAATACCAAAGGAACAATAACAAACCCAGCAAGATTCGTGGATTAATTTTTTTCAAATATTTTTAAGGATCAGCTGGAAAAAATCGTGGAGTTTTTTTAACATATTTTTAATGGATCAACAGGACAATAATCGTGGATTTTTTAAATAGATTTTTTCAAAGATCAACACGACACTAATCGTCGAGTTTTTAAACATATTTTTTATGAATCAAGAGGACAATAATCGTGGATATTTTTTCAAGGATCAACAGGACAATAATCCGGGATTTTTTAGATATATTTTTCAAGGACCAATAGGACATTAATCGCGAATTTTTTAATATATTTTTTAAAGGACCAACAGTATAATAATCGTAAATTTTTTAAATATATTTTTCAAGGACTAACAGGATAATAATCGTAGATTTTTTAATAATCGTGGATTTTTTTTAACTAATTTTTTCAAGGACTAACAGACCATAATCGTGGATTTTTTCAATATATTTTTTCAAGGGCTAACAGGACAATAATCGTGAAGTTTTCAAATATATTTTCAAGGACTAAGAGAACAATAATCGTGGAATTTTTAAATATATATTTTTTCAAGGGCTAACAGGACAATAATCGTGAAGTTTTCAAATATATTTTCAAGGACTAAGAGAACAATAATCGTGGAATTTTTAAATATATATTTTTTAAGGACCAAAAGGACAGTATTTGCGGATTTTTTAAATATATTTTTTCAGGAACCAACTAGACAATAATCCTGGATTTTTTAGATATATTAATCGCGACATTAATATCGAATTTTTTAATATATTTTTTCAAGGACCAAGAGTACAATAATCGTACATTTTTTAAATATATTTTTTAAGGACTAACAAGACAATAATATTAGATTTTTTAATAATCGTGGATTTTTAAACCTGTTTTTTCAAGGACTAACAGGCAATAAACGTGGATTTTTTCAAGGGCCAACAGGACAATAATCGTGAAGTTTTTAAACATATTTTTCAAGGACTAAGAGGACAATAATCGTGGATTTTTTAAATATATATTTTTCAAGGACCAACAGGACAGTAATTGTGAATTTTTTAAATATTTTTTTCAGGAACCAACAGGACAATAATCCTGGATTTTTTAGATATATACTTTCAAAAACCAACAGGACAATAATCTCGGAATTTTTAAATATATTTTTACAAGGACCAACGGGACAATAATCCTAAATGTCTTAGATATATTTTTCAAGGACCAACAGGACAATAATCCTGAATTTTTTAAACATATTTTTTCAAGGCCTTGTAGGACAATAATCTTGGATTTTTTAATAATAGTGAATTTTTTAAACATATTTTTCAAGGACTAATTTTTAAGGATCATTCGTGGAGTTTTTAAATATAATATTTTAAGTATCAATCTTGGAGTTTTTTAATATATTATTTAAGGATCAATCGTGAATTGTTTTAGATATATTTTTAATAGGTTTTATAAAAATATCACTCAAGGATCAATCGTGGATTTTTTAAAAATATTATTCAAGAATCAATTGTGTATTTTTTAAAAATATTATACAAGAACCAATAGTGGACATTTTTAAAAATGACATTAAAGAATCCAACTTGGATTTTTTTTTAAATATCATTCAAGAATTAATCCTGTATTTTTATAATATTTGTTTTTTGATAATTTTTTTTTTCAATAACCAATGTTGTTCCTTTTGTTAGGTGTACTCTCAGCCATATGGCTACAGAAGGTATATGTCATATGATACGGCCAAAACGTGGCTCATCGAAATAACAGTTATAGACTCTATGGTCTCTTTGGACTAAATCTGTTTCAGGACATGTGGAGTCGATCTAGGGGTGTCCGTCCGTCTGCTTGTCTGGGTAGTAGGGAGATTCCGTGTTAGTGCAAACTTGGTATATCATAATATTGTTATGAAGTCTAGATTGAGTTCGGAGATGGGCAATATCGGTCGACTCCTGGTACCTGACCCAAAAACGGTCAACATTTTTACAGAAAGTAATTATCAATATAATACAAGAAAGGATTGTCCAATTTTGTGCAAGTTCTGCAAATCCTAATAATTTTAGCAGTAGGTCACGTGCGAAAATGGACAATAACGGTCCACTCCATCAAGTACCTACCCCACAAAGGGTCAAAATCTTTCTCTAATAAAATTTGAAAAAAGTGTCCGATTGTCTATAAATTTCACAAATCTCAATATTTTTACCAACATTATGAAGAACAGATTAACCACTCCTTCTGATTCCTCTCCCACAGCGGGTAAAAATTTTAAATAATCATGAAGCTCATAAAACGCGAAATAAGCATTCGATTTCTTTCACACTCGGCACGGTAATTGTAACTCTCGTAAAATACAATATAAATATCCGATTCTCTTCAAATTTCACACATTCCAACATTTATAATAAATCTCAATTTATTTCGAAACAAGTCAACAATTCTTGATATAAATAAATATTTTACTCAACAAGAGGTCTGACGTGAATATAGAATTTATCAACCCACTCCTTCTGGAATTCTTCGATTCACTAAATCTGGTACCTTCCGAACATTTCAACATTTTCAAAAAATAAGTACATATCACATATCTATAAAGTGAAGGAATTAGTCGATCCCAAATCTGGCATGTGGTAGTATTTACAATTTAATACGCCCCCTAAAGAAGGCCATAATCTGCATTAACTACGAAGGAGGTCATAATTTTAATTACTGATTTAATCAACCTCCTCATTATTTCAATTAACAACGAAGATTAAATCCAAACACAAATTCCATACCCCAAAAAGAGGAGATTTTAAATTCATTAATTGAATATCGGTAAAAAGTATTCATCCGAACTATGAAGTGTGGGGGTCCTCAGTTAATCCATGTTTCGGACAAAAACCTCTTTCAATATTTAAAGATTCCCTTGGGAATTTAAGACGTGATATAGTACCACAATTTTTCTTTCCATCTCCTTCCCATCCTTTTTTCTCATTTGAAAAAATCATAAAAGGATTCATAATTCATAAAAACACTAATCACACTCTGTTCCACTCCTTCCTATTCATCATCATCTTCTTTCACAGCATTCAATCACTGTAATCCTTTAATGAATTGTTTGGCTTCAATAAATATTGATATTTCTATTTTGCCTTGGTGGGGGAGCGAAGGGGCTGGCTTCCTTCGGATAACCCAAAAGTGACCACTTAAGTAGCATAACAATGACAGTCATTTGACTTTTAAATTGCTGTCAGGTTGGTAAATAAAATAAATGTCAAACACAGACAGAAACGGGCTGGAGGGCAGGCAGCCATAGCATGGACAGCATGGACATACTAACAGCAACAACGAGGCGAATAAAAAAGCAAAGACAACGACTTCTATGACCCTAGACGACTTGACCCTTGCTTTTTCTCTAATAAATAGACAAGACAAGAAGGAAGTGATATCAAACAACAACAGCAGCAACAACAACGACTTTTATATCCCTGCATTTATCCCCCAAAGGGGTGGGAGTTAGTTATCAAGACACAAAAGCTTATAACAAACAACAGCAACAACAATACAGAACTGCTGTTGTTGTTGTTGTTTATTCCTTGTTATTGTCCATAATACATCATGTCCTTAACATTCCGTAGCACTGCCTTCTCATTTGACTTTATCTAATAACTCAAGCCCGGCCAGTTATGCCATCCATGTCAATGCCAGGAAGAAAATCGCCTTCTCCCTCCAGCCCCAAAAAAAATCCCAACAAAGCCAATCTTAACATTTGACCAAGTGTCAGGTCAATCAAAGAAATCAAATGAATGAATGAAATCGAATGGGGGAGGGGGCGGAAGAAAAGGAAAATGAATTAAAAATACTAACGAGAAAAAGGTTAAGGTGATATCAAAGGATTAAACAGCATTCCAATAATCCAAATAAATTACCTTGCAGCAAGGAGGAGTTGTTATATTTTTGGTATATTCTCCCCCTTCAATGGATGTCCAATCAAAAACAGACAGACAAACAGACAACAAGAACAACAATGGTAAAAGTATGTATTATTGTTGTTCTTATCTTGGCAAAAACATTCCCTCATCCTAGTTAACAGCCCCCACTCCCCCCACAATTGGAAACTGCTAAACAAGAGCATCATCATCAGCAGCTAACTATGAAACATTTAAAGGTGAAAGCAGCTGAAGGAGCCAACATCAGCAGTAACAAACAAACAACAACAACAATAATAATAAAATACTCATAGCATTCTCATCTAACCCTAAATGGAGCACTTGAAACAGCAAAGAACAACAACAGCATCATTGGCAATAATAATCCCAAAGCATTCCAAGTCATCAATTTCGGATTGTGAACACGCATACAATGGCA